AATTAATTAGTCAATTCAAAACTTATGAAGTCGAAATGAAATTGTATGTTGAAACTGATACTGGTGATATTACTGGCCAGATAATAAAAGACGAAAATCCACAAACATTAACCGAAAATCAGGTTCAAGCAGTTATTGACTCTTTTAACGACTGTGAATATTGACAAAAGCCACCAATTTATTCAGCGATAAAAATAAAAGGGAGAAAATTATATGAATATGCCCGCCAAGGTATCCCGGTAGAAATTCCGACCCGACTAGTGAAAATAAGGAAAATAAAACTATTAAATTATTCACCAAAAGCAGAAAAAATAAATTTTTTGGTAGAATGTAGCAAAGGCACCTATATTCGTAGTTTGGTAAAAGACTTTGCTGAAAAGTTAGGAACAATAGCCACGGTAAATCAATTAAGGAGAATTAGTTCCGGAAATTTTCACATTAAACAAGCAATAAAATTAGAAGAAGTGAAAGAAGAGAAGTTAATTACTTGAAAGGATGAATAATTATGAAAAATACGCCCAATTATCGAGAATCAAACGAGTAATAACAAATTATTTTTACCTAGGATTAGCAAAATTTTCTACTTTAAATTTTCGGTCCCGGGCTATTTCCATTAATTGACTCTTTTCCTTGCGACTGCTCAAAAAAGATATCGCTTTACCGCTGGCTCCCGCTCGACCAGTTCGTCCAGTCCGATGAATATAATATTCTGGATTTTGTGGAAAGTCATAATTAATAACATAAGAAATATCTTTAACATCTAAGCCACGGGCAGCCACATCACTAGCAACTAATAATGTTATTTGTTTTCTCTTGAATTTATCTAAAACCATTTCTCTCCGTGCTTGCTTCAAGTCCCCATGAATACAATCAACTCTTAATCTTTTTTCAACCAAGGTTTTTTTTATTTTTTCAGCTCCTCATTTGGTATTAGTAAACAAGATAGTTGAATTTGGCTTATTGTGGTGAAGAAAATTAAGCAAAGTATCGATTTTTTTATCCCGAGGTATTTCTAGATAATAATGCTCAGTATTGCTGGGTAAATTGTCAGCGGCACTGGTAATTAATTGCGGATTGTGGGTGAAACGGCGGGCAAAGTCTTTTACTTGTGGTGAAATAGTGGCAGAAAAAAGCAAAGTTTGGCGAGTAGTTGGAATTTTTTCCATTATTCATTTAATATCTTTAATAAATCCTTTGTTAATCATTTCGTCAACCTCATCCAACACTACGAATTTTAAATTGTTGGTTGGTAAATTTCCTCCTTGTAGATGGTCAATTAGTCTTCCGGGTGTTCCTATCACTACATCGACGCCTTGTCGAAGTGCTCGTAATTGTCTAAAAATGGCAACTCCGCCATAAACTTCTAGGATACGTAACTGACTAGCAGATAATTTGCGAGCTTCTCTACTTACTTGCAAAGCTAATTCTCGAGTCGGAACTAAAATGAGTGCTTGGGGTTTAGAACCAGCTTCTAATTTCTCCAAAATTGGGATTAGAAAGGCTGCGGTTTTTCCTGTTCCCGTCTGTGATTGGGCAATAAGGTCTTTGCCTTCTAATACTAAAGGGATAGTTTTTAATTGAATATCGGTTAATTGGTTATAACCTGACTGTTGCAGGTTTTTTTTGGTCTTTTCAGATAATGGTATGTTTTCTAAATTCATTTATTCTTATAATTATTTTTATTCAAAAACTTATAGTCTTAGCATGATATTATTATAGAAAAGATTTATACATTCAAGAATTTTTTTTGTTTTCTTCAAAAATTACTCTAACCTTAAATAATGTTAATGGAGATATACCCAAGTGGTTGAAGGGGGCAGTTTCGAAAACTGTTAGGGATGAATAATCCGCGGGGGTTCGAATCCCTCTATCTCCGCCAAAAAAGTTTAAAATATAGTCTATGCTAATTGTATTTGTTGGTATCCCTGGTTGCGGAAAGTCAAGCACAGTCAAGGAGTTAGCTAATTTGCTAAATATCAAGTATTTTGCCGAACCGGAAGAAGAAAAATGAGCGGATGCGGCTAAGGATTGGAAAACTTATGGTAGTTTTTCCATGCTGATGTGGTTTCGTTCAATGCGAGTTCCAATGTTGTTGGAAGCGCAAAAGTTAAGTGAAGAGGGGGAAATTATTTTTATTGATACTTATTACGACAAGTTGTTGCATTATTATATTGAAAAGTATTGTATGCGCTGGTTAATTGCCCCTTCTGACCTTTATTTTGAACCAATGAAGAAAATCGCCGAAATAGATAATAAAGTTCTTCCTAATGCCGACCTGGTTATTTTTTTTGAAGTTAATCGAGAGGATTGAGTAGAATTATTAAAAATCAGAAATCGCGGCACTGATCATGATGGAGAATTCATGAAAAATTTTGAAACCCAAAAATTTCTGCTGGAAGCGACCAAAAAATTTTGTGAAGAAAAAGGGGTAGAATTAATTATTTTCCCACAAGATAATTCCTCAGTCCAGGATTCGGCTCTTAAATTAAAAAGTTTATTAGAAGGCAAATTGACTGAAAAGGTTAAAAAATAAATTAATAAACTAGACTTTCGGAAAGTGGCCTAGCGGTAAGGCACCTGGTTTGGGACCAGGGGATCGTGAGTTCGAATCTCGCCTTTCCGACCATTTTTATCATATCCCAGTTAGAAGGACACCAACTTAAAATTTTCTCAGAATGTCACAACAAGAGTTAAGCAGAGGATGAATTGCTAAAATTACATAAATATAAAAAATAAGAAAAAAAATAAATATGACAAACTGACAAGAAATTCACCCCAATTTTACGGAGGAACTAGCTCATAATTGGCAAAAAGAAGGTTTTGATTTCGAACAAACAAAAAAATGGATTTGATGAATAATCTCAGTTAGCCGAAGCAATAAGATTATCATTGCTTACCGTTACCGACAGAGAAGATCAACAATTAAAAGAAGTGTTATTACTTTCTTCTCAACAACAAGTTAATTCCCAACAAATCGAAAAAAAGAAACTGGAAATTTAAAACAGGAGTTGGCAAATGAACTAGAAAAAAAAGCCCAAATCGAAGTTCTGCTTAAAAAATAAGAAAAAAGTTCTCATTGTAGGAGAAAAAAATAAAATAATGTGTTAGACTTACAAAAAATTTTCACTGATTTTGACAATTTGGTTCAGCGTTTAGAACCACGCAGAATAACCAAAAAGGAGTTAATTTTTATTAAGGAAAAATTAGAAAAAAAGAAAAAAAAAATTGAGTTAATAAATGGCCTTCGTCACCAAAGAAATACATTAAGCCAGGAAGGACCAAAAAACGCGGAAAGGGTGAGGGAAATTAAAGAAAAGGTTAACTTGTTAGAAGAAGAATTAAATAATTTAGAAGAAGAATTAAATAATTTAACTAGCCAAATTCCTAATCTTCCTGCTCCTGATACTCCAACTAATGAAGAAGGAAACCGAGTTATTGATAAGATTGAGTATCAACATGCTATCCGACATAATTTAACCCACGAACAAATATTAAAAAATCTTTCTCTAACTGACGAAGAAAAAAGTCTGCTTCTTTCTGGTAGCAAGTTTGCTGTTTATCAGGATTTCGGCAGTCAATTATTACATGCTCTTATTAATTTTATGCGATCCGAAAATAGTAAGCGCGGTTATCGTTTATTTGACACACCTTATTTAGCAAACGGTTATAACCTCTATAATACCGGACAATTACCAAAATTTCAAGAAGATTTATACAAGTTAGAAAATAGCAGCTTTTATCTTATTCCTACCGCCGAAGTAAGTTTGGTTAACCTTTATCGCAAGCAAACATTAGAGGAAAAGAATTTACCGCTTAAATTGTGTGCTTATACTCCCTGTTTTCGAGCCGAAGCCGGAGCCGCCGGACAAGAAAATAAAGGACTAATTAGGCTCCACCAATTTCATAAAGTCGAATTAGTAAAAATAGTGAAACCGGAGCATTCTTATCAAGAACTAAAAGAATTGTTAGCCGATGCCCGCAATATTCTCCACTTATTAAAAATTCCACACCGAGTAATTGAACTTTGCCACCAAGAATTAGGGTTTACGGCTGCTAAGACTTACGATATTGAGGTCTGATTACCAGTCAGCAAAAAATGGTTAGAAATCTCCTCGTGTAGCAATTGTGAAGATTTTCAAAGTCGGCGGGCGGAAATAAAAGTAAAGAACAAAGAAGGAAAAAAATACCCTCCGCATACCCTTAATGGTTCGGCTTTGGCAATTGACCGCTTAATTATTACCTTATGTGAATATTATTATCAGGAAAAAGAAAATAAGTTAATTATTCCCGAAGTTTTGCGGAAATATTTTTACTAAGCTTGTTTAATATAAGCAGAAAGCCCGAAAAAAAGTCAAGAAGAGGAAAATAATATTAAAGATAAAGAGTTAGTTATCAGTAATATTGAATGAGAGGCTCATGGTGGCGGAGAAGCAGTGGAACTAAATAATGGTATTACAATGTGCGAAATTAATGCCAGAGTTTGAGTTAATTTCCTAACCCCTTACTTTACCAATCGAGATGACTGTCAAGTTCCACTTCAATTTCTGCTTCTTTCCCTAAATTCCGCGTAATAAGTTTGACATTTTCTTTTAGGACACATCCCATATTCTTTTCCTGCCTGTGCCACCAATTCAGGAAAAGTTCAAGCAAATTGAGTGTCCTTCTCGCAAGCATTACAACTAAAACAATGCTTCATGTTTTCTGCAGATAAGCATTTTTTGCAAGAATTACTATAGTTCATAATGTTATATTTTTTAATGGCAACACAACCTCCTGTTTTAAATCACCCCAAAAACTATTGAATGACTTAGCAGAAATAAAGCGGGTTTCTAAATCAGACCTCAAACACTTCCTCACCCAAGACCACACTTCCTTTACTGTCCTCTCCGTCTCCACTAAACATATCCAAAGCACCAATCGAATTAATCACTGAGCAACTAACTGGAACCTTAGATTTAACTGACTTTACTAACTTAAAAAAGATATTGATTGCTCAGTCGTCCAGGCTAGTCAATTCCAAATAACTAACCAACCAACCCAAGTTGAAATCATTAATAATAGTTGGATAGATATTCATGAGAGATTTGGTGAAAATGATTGGATGAGTGATAAAACCTACCAACAAAAATGAGAAGGAGTTGGTTTGACTGCTTCCGAGGCTCAAGCTTGAATAAATATTGGTTTAGAAACACATGAATATAATTTAGCCTATTACTGCCAAACTCAGGGACTTACTCCAGAAGCAGTTAAAGATAATTGCGAACAATACAAGGGGGAGTTAGAGCAAAAACTAGCACAAGAATTACAGTCAGCTCAAGCTTATTTTGATTTCTTTTATCCTTCAGCTAACCGTAGTAAAATTAAGGAGTTAAATATTCATAAAAAAAAATTAACTGGTGACTTAAATTTAGTCGGATTTACTAATTTAACTAATCTTTATTGCTGTAATAACTACCACTTGTATTAAAAACAATTGGTCGGGTAGTTTTCTTAGCAATGGGAAGAGTAATTACTAATCAATTAGTGGATTTTATTTGTTCAGAGTTAGGTCAGATGCTAATATCACCTGCTTTGCCACCAGTTTCTTCATCATCTCGTTTTGCTAATTCCTTGCCACCAACCAATTCCCAACCAGTAGCTGAGACTTGGATGCTATCAGGTTGCCACTCGACAAAGTCAGTAATGTTACTAGTACCATCTTCTTTCATAGTGGGGAACTTTCATAATTCTGGTTCCACTTGGCGAGTACCTAACCAAGAAATAGGTTCCTGAGAATAACCATTTTTAATCGCTAACTCCATTAATTTTCTTAGTTCAATATTTAATTCGGCTTCGGTATAAGTAGGTCGTTCTTTTTCTTCTTTCGTATGTTGACAGATGCTGATATCTTTTTGTTCTCCCTCACTATGTGGACAAACTTTGCTCTTATAATTAGTTTTCACATCTTGACCGTAAGGCAATAAACCTAAAATGGAGTAAAGACCATCCAAAGGCACCGTTTGTTGGCGATGAGCTACTGCGGATAAGGCTTGACTTAGTCCTAATTCCACTTTTTGCTCGGACTGCGCACCATAACTTCAACCGAGGGGAGTGATAAAAATAGGTGGGATAGTTTTTAGGTTAATTGGCCAATATTCTGCTTGCACCCCTCCTCAAAAATTAGCTAATATTCTCCCATCTACTATCTTATTATCAAACATAAAAATAGTTTGCTTGGAAAGCAAGCCTTCTTGGAAGGTTCAAGAACGTTGAAATCAGAGTGAGGTAATTATTTGTTGAATGATATGTTGAGCTAACTTTAGTTCACTCTCTCACTTTTCTTGGTCAATCTGACCATCAATGGCAATTAAAGTGGCAGAGGCATTATTGTAATATTGTTGTTGTTTGGCAACTTCTTGGCCTTTTTCAGTTTTGTCACCTTGGTTAATGCAGAAGTTGTCAATTCAAATGTGATTAATGGGAGTTGCACCTTGGTTAATTAACTGTCAAGCAGCAAGAACTTTATTTAAAGCTTTACGACCTAATTGGGTTAAATCAGTTTCATAATCTTGCCCATACGTTTGCTTTTGGTTTTCTCAGTCAGTACCTCAGACATAAGAGAGAGCTAAGTAAGGGATATCTGTTCTATCTTTGGTTACTTCTACTTGCTTAGTTTGGAGATTATAAAGACGCAATGGTAAAGCAGTTGCGACTACTAAAGTTTGGTTTTCTCAAGCCAAAGGGCGACCATCCCGGAGAGCAAATTGCGAGTAGTCCAAATTAGTTAATTGGTAATTAGTGACTGGTGCAGTGACTGACTTTAAATAATAATTTTAAAGAAGAATATAATAAAGCCATCCAATTTTTAAAGAAAGGTTGTAAGTGTAGGTGTTCTGATAAAGTTCATTCAGAGGAGTTTGCCAAAATAAGAGCAAGATTTCGATCTCTTTCTAAAAAGGAACAAGATGCGATAGTGATGGGTCAACTCTTAATCAGTAGGGGAGGAAAAACAAGTCTAAGTAAACGACTGAAAAAGAAAGAAAGAGTTAATCACCGCACCTTTTACCGCTGAGATCATAATACTCCCATTTGTTTAGAAACTTATCTCAATATGCTAGGAATAAGTCATACTTACTTAGAGTATGTTAGGAACCACTTTATGATTAAAGGACTTAGCACGAGAACCCATAGTAATGTTGGTAAAATACCTATAAGAAAAACTAAGATGCTAATTGACCAAAATGTCAAAAAGGTGGTTAAGAACTTTATCAACAAACTTGCCCAAACTCATGGGTTACCTGACCCAGGGAGAATTAAAAGAATAATCCAACTTGTTATCTATTTGCCTACTGAAAAAAGTTATAGTTCAGTTTACCGAGACTTTTTAGCAAGTCGGAAAGAAAACGATAAATTAAAACAACTCAAATATGATGTTTTTCGCAGATTATGACATGAACTAACTCCTCATGTTAAGTTTATGAAACCGAAAACTGACTTATGCGATACTTGTCATAAAATTAGGAATGAGATACATTCTTGTAAGGATGAAAAAGAGAAAGCAACTCAAAAAAAAACTTTTTCGACACCAAAACCGAGCCTACAAAGAGAAAAAATACTACAACAAAAACACAAAATTAGCCCAAAGACAAAGAAAAATAGTAGATAAAAATTACCTCCAAAAACAAGGTAAAGTAAAGCTTTGTTCGGTTGATGCTACTGCTCATTTTAGTCACGATAGAGCTCAAAATATTCAATTTCCTCATTTCCCTCAACAACCTAGTGGAATATTTTTTGATAATCCTCGTAAAATTGGTCTTTTTGGTTTTTTGAATGAGGCAACTAAAACACAAATTAACTATACCTTAGATGAAAGTGAGTTTTTGGATAGAGGACCCAATGGCACACTTAGTTTAGTTCTTGATGGAATTATGCTATTTAATAGAGGAGAAAAACATCTCAAACTCACTTGCGATAATGCGGTGGGGCAGAATAAAAACAATATAACTCTTTGATTTTTGATTTACTTGGTCATTTGTGGTTATTATGAAACTATCGAACAAAACTTTATGATAGTAGGACATACTAAATTTAATGTGGATGGTAATTTTGGGATGATTAAAAAACTGTTTCGCAAATCAGAAATTAATTGTTTAGATGATTTTGTAGAAGTAGTAGAAAAATCCAGTCCAGCAGGTTATAATAAAGTCCAGCGTTATGAGAATGGTCAAGGGTTCCAATATTATGACATCAGAGGAAGTTTAGAACCTTACTTTAAGAACTTGCCTAATATAGCTAAATATCACCACTTCTTTTTTAGAACTGATAAGGCAGGAGTAGTCATAGTTCAGGAGTTTGCTGATAGTCCCCCCATTGAGATTAACTTATGAAAAGATAAAAATAGAGTTGCCGAGAACATTAAAGAAATTAGAGGTTTAGTGTTTAAAGTTTTAGTTCCTAGTCCTTTATCTTCTAAGCGACAAAAAGACTTTCATGAAATTTCTTCTTTGATGAAAAAAGAATATAGGGATACTGTTTGCTCGCAAATAGTTATTGATAATCAAGGAGTGTTATAATTGGTATTTTTTGTAAAATTTTATTATAAGATAGCATACCATGGTAGAAGAATGAAATGAATGGATAATGGGTCAAGAAGTCCTGAAAAGTTTAGGAATTAATGAACCTAATAATCATCCTAATTTTTGGATTTATCCACAAAGAGTTAAGCACGATTTACAAATAAAAGAAATTTTGGGAAAATGTGGGGGAAAACCAGAAAAATGACTGTTTAATAAAGGTCAACAACCTATTAATAAAAAGAAACCAGGAGCACCTGATTTCACTATCCGCCACCAAACAAAAGAAGTAGTTCTATTAATTGAGACCAAAACTAAACTTAAATCTCATCAATCTCCAAGTTTAGAAAAGGAATTAGAACCTGCTGATTATAATTTGGATGGTTTACTATACTTCGCCGAGTTTTTTAAGAAAGAATTTAATGTTTTAGGCTTGGCTATCACAGGAGAAAGTCCTGAGAAAGAAAACTGAGAAATATCTTCTTTTACTTGACCAAAAGGACAGCAAGAATTTGACTTAAAAAGTATTCGTAAAGAAAAAGAACTTTCACTAGTTGAAGAATACTTTTATCATTTCTTACCCAAGAAGAATAAATCTGATTTAAACATAAAAGAAATTAGAGATACTGCCAAAGAATTGAATGAAATTATTTATTCAGGTTTAGGCTTTTCGGAAAGCGAAAAACCCTTTTTTATTAGTGCTTGCTTGTTAGCTTTGAAAGATGAAGATTTTCAGAACTTTTTTGCTGAAAAGAAAAATGTCATTTCTTCTTGTCTGAATGCTATCAGCAACAAAATAGATGAGTATGCTAAGGCTGAAAGCGAAGTAGAAAAATACAAAAGTCTTAAAGTCACCCTAACTGGAACAATTGAAGATAATAAAAAACTTGCTTCCATTTCTAAAAACAAAGAAAATTCTTTTGTCAATATCTTAACCAAAATCAATCAAGAAGTTTTTCCTTTTCTAGACAAAGGAGATGTCATTGGTGAATTTTACCACGAGTTTTTAAAGTATTCAACGGGAGATGGAAAAAACCTCGGTATTGTTTTAACTCCTTCGCATATTGCGGACTTGTTTTGTGAAATCAGTTTGAAACTGCTATATTCAGAAAAAAAATACGAAAAAAGAAAGTTTACTGAAAAAGACAAAATCTTGGATGTTTGTTGTGGAACAGGAACCTTTTTGGTAAATGCTTTTAAGAAAGAAGTCGACAAAGACAAGGTTTTCGGAGTAGAAATAAAATCCGAACCTTATAATTTGGCTCTAACTAACATGATTTTATGAGGAGATGGCAGGTCTAATATTTTCCAAGGGGACTGTTTTGATAAGGAAATTGAGAAGAAGATAAAAAAGTTTGGTTGTAATATCGCTTTTCTCAATCCTCCTTACTCCCAAAAAAAGAAAAAAATTAGTGAGGGTAAATCAGAAATAGAATTTATTCTTCAAGCCTGTAATCTATTAGAAAAAGGATGAGTTATTGCTATTGTTCCTTTATCTTCTGCTATTGGCACCAAATATGAAACAGAGCGAAAAAAAATGATGGAAAAACATACTCTCAAAGCAGTGATGGAGATGCCTAATAACTTATTTGTAGGAAATAATAGCGGTAGTCATACTTGTATTATGGTTTGAGAAGTAGGTAGGGCGAATAAAGAGAGTTCTGAAACTTGACTAGCCAACTGAAAAGATGATGGATTTACTACTTTGAAAGGAAAAAGATTTGATAAAGATAACAAATGAGAAGAAATCAAAAAGCAATGAGTTAATTCTTTTAGCGAAGAAGAGAAAGACTATGTTTCTATTTTTAAAAAACTGACTTACAGAGATTGTTGGTTGGCAAATGATTGATTAGAAACTGATTATTCCCCTTTATTCAGAAAGGGGGGAGAAATTTATTTTGAAAAAACTATCCGAGACTATTTAGCTTTTCATCTTTCCATTTTAGAAGAAAAAAATGAATAAACTAAAATTAACAAAATGAGAATATTTTTCTTTGGGAGATGAGAAATATTTTGAGATTTGCCCTCAAAAAAGAGGAGTAAACATTAATGAGTATACTTCTTCTCATATCAAATCTAAAAACATGGTTTCTGTTATTACTTCTAGCAGACAAAATAATGGATCTGTTGGATTTATTAATAAAAACGATAAGGAAAATTTATATCCCAAAGAAACGATAACTATTACCAAAGATGGAGTTCCTTACATTCCTTTTTTTCAACTTGAAGAATTTTATGCCAATCCTCTTGTTTTTTGTTTGAAAGTAAGGTGTGGCAATTATAATAAAAAAGCAATCAGTCTTTTTCTTTGTTCAATAATTAAGTTTAACCACTCAAGATATTCTTATGGAAGAAAACTAAGCACAAATAGGTTGTTAAAAACAGAAATTCCCCTCCCTGTTGATGAAAATGGTGAACCTAACTGATTATGAATGGAAAATTATAGCAAAAAAATGTCTAGTAAGGTTAAAGAAGATGTTATTAAGTTAATTAACATAGAGAGAGAGAGAGAGAGAGAGAGAGAGAGAGAGCAAAATAATCTCTAATTCTCAGTCTTTAGCAACTAATTCTTTTTTAATTAGTAGTATGGGATTTATTTCGCTTTTTTTTAGTTTAATTTCTTTGACTTTTCCTGAGGAATCAGGGTAAATATAAAAAATAATGAAAGAAAATCTAAATAATAAGCAAATAAATAAACTAAATCTCTCTTCGACTTGAACTAAGCAAAAAATGGCAACTTTGTTTTTGCTGACTTTGGCTGGGGTGGAAAAAGTAAAAGCTGGTCAGGCTTTTAAGAATTGTTTGGCCTATGAAAGGAACGATACCACTTCTTATAATTTATTACTTAGTTACCTCTCTTTTCCTAGTGATAATAATAAAATAACTGAACTTTGTTGTGATACTAGTAAGTGTTATGAGTGCCTTGGCAGTGATCCTGATTTTTGATGTGAGAGAGTTTTACAAAATATATTTTGTACTTCCCACAACTGGAATTCGTGTGGAGGAACGATTGGCAACACTAATATTACTACTAATATCACTAATGGGCTTGGAAATTGCACAACAGGTTATAATGCTGATCTTGACTCAGTGGCTAATTACATAGCAAATGTTCCCGTAAGCAATTTTACTGGAATAAACCATAGTTATGCTTATTATAAGTGTCCAAGTGGCAGTCCTTGTCAAAATTTAAGGGTGTGCAATTGAGATAACAATGGTTGAACGTGTTATTCGATGAATGGTTTAGACATTAATTCTTCTAATTGCTTATTACAATGAACAGCTACTTTTCCAGGTTCAATTACTGCAACTGGCTCTAGTTCAGGTTCTTTTAGTAGCCCAACCAATTTTATTTTACCTTCAAGCAATACTCCTATTTCCAGTGCTGATAACAACAATCCTAATCTTGTCCCAATACTCGTCCCAGTTAGCACCACAGTCGGAGTAGTTGCGGTTGGTGGAATAACTTATTATCTAATTAAAAAAAGAAAAAAGACCCAGCAGGCGAAGCATGGAGAGCATGAAGTAATAACTGCTCTCTTCCAAGGGGAAACCAATAATAAAGCAATTGAGTTGTCTAATGTCCAGCAGAAAGGAGCGGGAAGCCATGAAATTGTCTCTCTTTCCCCGCAACAAATTCAACAATTACAAGCTGAGAATGCTCGTTTAAGTCAACAATTAGCTCAGGTTCAAGTCCCACCCAAAAAATAATCATGACCCTCTGCGATTTCATACGAAGTATTTATTAGGTATTAACCTAAACAACAATGAACTATGAACATTTTAGCAAAAAAAAAAAAAAAAAACAATAATTTATCTAATTAGTGGAATATTAGTAATCGCCGGAATCGGAACCATCACTTATTTCACCTGACCTAAAAAAGACACCAAAACCGAAACCAAAAGCCAAGCAGAAGAAAAAACTCAGCAATTTCAAAACCAATTATCTCAAATAAAAAGCACCCTTAATAAACCAGAGAATGCTAGCAAAAAAGTTAAATACTCGGTTCAATTATCTGAACTAGAAAACCAACTAAAAAATCTTCCTCAGCAAAATATTTCTGAGCAAGAAAAAACTATCCAGCAATTAGAGCAAGAAATTAAGGTAATTAATCAAGAGTTAGGAATATCCGAAGAACCAAAAGAAAAAAAGCCTAATCTGCCTAATTCTACTTATCAAGATTTACTGGATGACTTAAAGACTATTGATGATGAACTTACCAAATCTATTTCGGAACTAGAATCTAATCCTCCTAATCCTTCCTATGGTAATTATCAAGGTGCTCAACAAAAATGACAAATCTCATTAGATAAGTGCAAAACTGACTTACAAGAGATTGAAGACTTACAAAAGAATTTGCTAACTCTCAGCCTTAATCAGCAAGAAATTACCGAAAAACGAACTGAACTTCGGCAAAAATGAAAATGAGTATTTAAAGATAACCCTCTACCCGAAGAAGATAAACCTAATGAAAATCCTCCTCCTTCTGATAATCAAGACACTTCTACTCTAAATTCTCTCAC